TAATAAAAGAGAATTCAATTAAATTGTGACAGTTGAATTAGTCATAAAAGATACAGATATACGTCGCTATATATTAACAATTAGATCCGTGGCTAATAAAAACTCAAAACTAACCTTTCTTTTCCTCTATTAACAAACTCCAATATTCATTAACTTTTTTTTCCGGATTTTGCAATTACAAGATTCATTTTTTATTCTTTTATAAATATAGAAATAAAATGTTTATCAAAATTCTCACGTGTTTAAATACAGGATGTCAAGTACCTTTAATTATCAACATGTATCAAATGAAAAAAAGCCGATACAAACTTTATATTAAATATTATGTACTAATTATAATTGGTTAATACATGATATTGAAAATACCGTATCACATTCAGCCCTTCAAATTTTGTTTAAAACGCTTATTTAGATTGTCGGTTAATTTATAAGTTGTTAATATTTTTTTACCCTTTGGCTTTTGGGTATTCGTATTTAAAAGAAGGGTCCCACCGAAAGACGTCACCCATATTTCATGTTGCTATAAATCTTGACACGCTTACAATATCAAACGAGTGGATTCGAGTCAGATCCGACGTGGACTTCGGATAAACTTACCATCCTAAAGGAACACGTGCTACGTGTTTATACATTTATCAGCCAATGACATGGTACCACATGGCATACCACTGTTTCCTACCAAAAAATTTATTAACTGCCGTACACGATAACCATTTTTTTATTTGACTTTTCATGTATTTTAGTTTGACCAGTATATGTAATTTTATTTACAAATAATTGTTGTACCTATTAAATTAAAAAATAAATAAAAATGTTTTAATTATTGGAATTATAATGTTGGTTACATAGGTCCGTTATATCACATGGGGTGGTATCATCTGTTTTATCAATACAATCCGGATGCAGCCGTATGGGGAAATATCACGTGGGGCCATGCTATATCAACGGATCTGATTAACTGGTATCATCTCCCTTTTGCTATGGTCCCTGATCAATGGTACGATATCAAAGGTGTATGGACTGGATCTGCTACGATCCTGCCCGATGGTCAGATCGTCATGATGTATACTGGGGACACCAATGAGGAAGTGCAGGTCCAGAATCTAGCCTACCCTGCCAACCTATCTGATCCTCTCCTCCTTGATTGGGTCAAGTATTCGGGTAACCCAGTTCTAACCCCTCCACCGGGTATTGGCAGTAAGGATTTTCGGGATCCGACTACCGCATGGGTTGGTCCGAATGGGAAGTGGCGGGTTGCTTTGGGGACGAAGGTTAATAAAACGGGTATCACACTCGTTTACGAAACGACGGATTTTACGAGCTATGAGTTGTTGGATGAAGTCCTTCATGCTGTTCCGGGTACAGGTATGTGGGAATGTGTTGACTTTTATCCGGTTTCAACAACTGAGTCAAACGGGTTGGACACGTCGGTTAATGGACCCGGTATCAAGCATGTGTTGAAATCGAGTTTGGATGATAATAAGCATGATTATTATGCACTTGGGACCTACGACCCCATTAGTAACAAGTGGACGCCCGACAATCCGGACTTAGATGTGGGTATCGGGTTACGAGTGGATTACGGAAAATACTACGCATCGAAAAGTTTTTATGATCAAAATAAGCAAAGGAGACTTCTTTTGGGTTGGACCGGAGAAACGGATAGCGAAGCTGCTGATATTTTAAAGGGGTGGGCCTCCCTTCAGGTAAAATTAGGATTTTCAACTGATATAGTTGGTTTCAGGATTATATAGTTATACAGACTAAAATGTTCAATCGTCTTTACTATACGTATTTTTAGACCATTCCAAGAGAAGTGGTGTTTGACAAAAAGACCGGAAAAAATATACTTCAATGGCCCATTAAAGAGGTAGAGAAGTTGAGATCCAAAAGTACGGTATATAAAAAAGTGTTGCTCGAACCAGGATCTCTTGTGCCCCTTGACATAGGCGCAGCTACACAGGTACTTACGTCTTTAATTTGAATAAAATACGCATATTATGCTTAGTGTATACTTACAATTTTTGGAATGATTGTAGTTGGACATAATAGCAACGTTTGATATCGATAGCACAGTTTTAGAGGCGGCACTCGAGGCAGATGTGGGTTACAATTGCACAACAAGCGGTGGTTCCTCCTCGAGAGGAGCTTTTGGACCCTTCGGATTGGTGGTTCTTGCAGATGAGTCACGTACGGAGCAAACTCCCGTGTATTTCTACATTGCCAAAGGCACTGATGGCGTTGCGAGTACTTACTTTTGTGCCGATCAATCCAAGTAAGTGTTTCATTATACTATGCATCATGACCATAACTTTACCTCCAAAACTGTATAACTGACTTAACAGTTATATACACAGGTCATCAACTGCTTCAGACGTTGTCAAATTAATCTACGGAAGCACGGTTCCTGTACTAGATGGTGAAAATTTTAGCATGAGATTATTGGTATGATTTAGTTTTAATTTACAATATTATAAAATTTATTTAATATTTTTTTCACTGTAAAATCGTTAGAATAAACTAAAAATTCCATGTTTATGAAATATTTCAGGTTGATCATTCAATAGTGGAAAGCTTTGGGCAGGGTGGAAGGACGGTTATAACCTCAAGGGTATATCCGACAAAAGCAATTTATTCGGCAGCAAAGGTCTTCCTGTTTAATAACGCCACGGGAATAACTGTAACTGCAAACGTAAACGCCTGGAACATGGATTCGGCAAACATTAAGTAGTTCACCCTTAGTCAACACTAAAATTACGAATATGCCATTACAAAGTCAACCTATTGTTGTATCACCCCATCTTCATATTCATTTTTCTCTATTTTCATCCCAATATCTATTTGATCCATTTCTTACAATAATTTTGGAGATGTGCTTGTGAGAAAATATAAAATAAATATTATAATATATATATATATATATATATATTTATTTATTTAAAACATATCGTTCAAACATTCTGTTAAGAGTTTAAAATTACAAAAGTAAGATTCTAGTCTACCAAAACGACATTATATATACAACTTACCCGATAAGCGCTAACCGTGGTAAGAGTTGTCGTCATCATTTACTGGGTAAGACTCTCGGTCTTTGCCTTTGCTCTTATCGGATAAGATTCTTGGTCCTTGCAATATTCATCCAATAAAATAATGTAACTTGGTAAGTGCTTACTCAAGTAAGCATTTGGTAAACGGCCCCTTAGTGGGATAATCTCTTAATAAGAAATAATGGAATTACTTGTACTGAAATCAAAATAAAAAATCGAATTTATTTTAAATTATAATAACTAAATTTGCAACTCATTTTCCATCTTACCTGACAGTAATTATTAATTATTATTTTCCATGCTTTCTTACAAGTTAAATTCTTGAAGTGTCCATTTACATGTGACACAGTTTTTTTGTCGTTTTTCTTGACAACCATAGCTTTTATCGTCATTTTTTCTTATTGATTCATACCTTTTAATAAGAAAGACTTTGATGATATGACGGCGACGCAACCGTTCTGTCTTAATCGCTTGTGGTCATGAAATCATCAATCCTTTGTTTTTTTTGACATTTAGGGCATGAGAATTGTGATATTTACCAAATCTGATTATATCGTTCACCTTATAATTTCCAAATTTACAACTCATTTTCTACGTGGCAGTGACTGTAATCACAATTGTTGCTTTCCATCCATTATTGCAAGTTAATAACCTGAAGTGTCCATTTGCATGACACAACTCTCTATACCATTCTTCTTGTCAACGTAGTTTTTATTGTATTTCTTCTTGTTTTTCCTACCTTTTAGGAAATAATTGAGGATGCGACAGCTAACGTCCGAATAAAGTTTTTAACGACACGACGGTTCGGTTTTAATCGATGGTGGTTGTGAAATCATACTTCTTGGGTTTTCTTATAATTCTAGACGAAAGAACTGTAGTATTCCACACGACAACAACAATCATGGTTGTGGCGTTACCGACCCTTGTGTTTTTCGTGGTTTTTAGGCAAGAGTTTTTATGGTAGTGATTAAAGTTTATAACTATAGTAGTAGATCCATAAATTTTGTAATTGAGCATCCAAATTCAAATTTACTAATTTTTGAGGGTCAAAAGTGTAATTATATTTATAACATTTAGTTTGAAAAAAAAATAAGAATTTGACAAAAAAAAAAATCTTTGGATTTTTATAACATTCAATTGTAGTCTTCAATCATTATTTGTAACTAGAAAGGTATCATCGAGACACATTTTCATTTCAATGTTTAGTTTATTTTTTTATCCATGTCGATATAATACAATTTTATGTGGTTTTGATAAAGCGATAATTTTTATTTTTGAATAAAATATAAATTTAAAAATATCATACAAATTTTGCAAAAAATATATTAATATTAGTATCAAATTAACTAATTATAAGTTCTTGTTTGTTTACTTTTTTTAATTTAAATTTTTTATTATAATTTAATTTAACGTAACGAAGTAACTTAATTTAGGTTTAATAATATTTTTTTTCTATAAAGATAATAATTAAGTATTTTGTTAGAACTCAATAATTATCCTAATTATATTTTAGATTTTTTATATTTTAAAATGAGATGTTTGTCCTCTATTTGATTATGTTTATCTGTGGTTCGTTACACGAATTCAAACATAGAGCTTTAATAAGTTGTACCTATACACAATTACTTGTAATCTTGAATTTTAAGTAATATGCATCAATAAACAGTGCTTTATGCATAAAAAAAATTAAGAGTTTTTATCAAATGTTTTATAATATAATATAGATTTATATTTTTATTTGAACAAAATTTCAATATTTTTAATAAAAAATGTATTGATTTTTCAGTTTTCATTCTTTGATATAATACCATTTTGCATGTAACATATGAGGTAAATAGTTAATGATAATACATTTAATCACGTCGAGTTCTGTATGGTAACTGAAGATACTTATAAGAGAGAAGTGTAAGAAGAAATCTGGACTTTTGATCAACCCTAATCTCAAACTTACACATGGATTGATCTGGTGCATCTCATCATGATGTGCGTTCAAGGGTGGAGATTCTTTTTTACGCTTGTTACCTTAACTTTCATTTTCATCGGAATGCAACCCTAGTCGAGATGTATACAAATTGACCCGGACACCAATGATAAACAAAAAAAACTAATGACTAAAACCAAACGGTACAAAACCGACTCGGTAATTTCCAGTCGAAAATATGGTCCAGAAAAGTTAGATATATGCGTACGATAAAGATTTTGGGGTAGACAAGTAATGATTAGTAGCAATGAAGTAAATACGTTTGGTTTAAAGAGATGCTATTTTGAATGTGTTTTTTTTTTTTTTGAAAAAAGGTTGTAGGATACGCATGGCACTAAACGACTTTAGCGTGATTCCGGTTAGAAAAGGCACATATCACGGCGGTGAGGCGCGAGAATGGATGCGAGGGGTAGGGCAACACACTCAAATACCATGACACCGCAAAACACGCTCAAGGTTTGTGGAAAAAGGGATTATTTCACTCCTCTCTATATGATCACGTAAAACCCCTCAAAATCAACCACAAAACAACTCGAAAATGGCGTTGTTATGTTTCATCTTGTTCTGTTGGTTCCACATTGGGTTACTACTTGGTGGGTTCTCTTTTGCCGCCGATCCAGTTGCAAATTTCGAACTCCAGTTTTCTTACATCACTGCTTCTCCACTTGGTGTTCCTCAACAGGTGGATTCTTCCCTCCCCTCCTGTGCTCTGTTTTTGTTGTTTATGTTTTACTGGAAGTCTTTCAAACGTTCGATGAAATGCTTCTGTGGGTATTCAATATTTTGTGCTGTTTTTGATGGTTTAACGCGATTAGCGATCTGATTCTAAAAGGTAACTCGAATTTTGATTCCAACCTTTATAAAAGAAATATGGGTTTTCTTTATTTTGTTGGTAAATCACTAAAACTGTATTGAAGTCCTCGAGGTATTATTGAATGATTCATAGAATCCAAATTTGATATGAAAATTGAAACGTCAAAACGGAAAAGATCGAGTAAATTTAAGTTACAACTTGACGTGCATTGAATCATAAATTCCTTTTGCATTATTTTTATTTTATTATAATTTTCTGTGTGAATTCTGAACATGATTACAGGTCGTAGCAGTGAATGGGAAGTTTCCAGGTCCAACACTAAATGTTACTACCAATAACAATGTCGTTGTCAACGTCAAGAACAAATTAGATGAAAGCCTTCTAATCACATGGTATGGTTTAGCAATAAGTTAAATTGGTATACTCTAAACACTGGAGTACAACATAGCTAGATTTGGACCATTTTAGACCCTCCATTCTCTCCTAAACTCCTTGGAGACTAATCTATCAGAGTTCCACATATTTCATATGGTATCAAAGCCAATTTCTACTACTGAAGGAGCTCGACACTATGGACAATCTATGTCTATTTAACCTCTGTTTGTTGAGGGTGGAGGAGAGAATATGTGGAACCCCATCGGATTACTTTCCAAAAGAGGACTTGAGGAGAGAAGGGACTTATATTGAGAAGAAATGGTACAAGTCTGGCCGATATGGTACTCAACTGAATATGTAAAGATTGCTTCATTTGTAGTATGGTATATGTTTTGAATATGGGAACTTATGTTTGATAGGCCGGGAATAGAAATGCGTCGTTCTTCTTGGCAAGATGGAGTTCTTGGCACAAATTGTCCTATTCCTTCAAATTGGAACTGGACATACCGGTTTCAAGTCAAGGATCAGATTGGTAGCTACCATTATGTTCCAACTACTCATTTTCAAAGAGCAGCAGGTGGCTTTGGTGGTTTTGTTATCACAAATCGCAAAGTTATTCAGCTGCCTTTCAATACCCCTGATGGAGATATGGTCATTACCATTGGTGATTGGTATACCCGTAACCATTCGGTCAGTATCTAATTTGATTTCTAGTACTTGGTTGTGGTCCGAGTATCACACATACTCGCGGGTGGAAAGTTCATTTAGGAAACGTAAATATGTTGAGAACTGTGAAACTATTCATGAATTATTCATCATGAATATTTTGCATTTTCTTTATTCATGATATTCATCATTAATGTCTATCACCGTGTTCGAATAATTCATTAATAGTTGGAGATCCAATATCCTTGTGCATCTAATTTATGGTTTCCTCTCTCTTGTGTACTAAGGCACTAAGAGCTTCTCTTGATGCTGGAAAGGATCTTGGTATGCCAGATGGAGTTCTGATTAATGGCAAGGGACCTTTTAAATATAATTCCAGCGTTCCGGATGGCATTAATCATACAACACTTAATGTTGATCGAGGTAGATCTCATTGATCTGAATTTACGATATAAACATAGAGAGTTAAGCAATCTTTTGGTCTTTCAAGTGCAAGACTACTTAAAGAATGGACCTTTTTGGTTGTTAATTTTCTTACACAGGTCAAACTTATCGAATCCGTGTGATTAATGTTGGAGTCTCAACTTGTTTAAACTTTCGGATTCAGAACCATAAATTGCTTTTAGCAGAAGCTGAGGGACATTATACGTCCCAACAAAACTATAGTAGCTTTGATATCCATGTCGGCCAGTCTTACTCTTTTTTGGTTACTATGGATCAAAACGCGAGTAGTGATTACTATGTTGTTGCAAGCGCCCGATTTATAAATCAGTCGGAGTGGCAGAGAGTTACAGGCGTTGCTATATTGCACTATTCAAATTCTAGAGGACAAGCATCCGGTCCTCTTCCTGACGCTCCAAATGACGTATATGACCATTCATTTGCAATGAATCAGGCTATGTCCATCAGGTATCTTTCTTCCGTTCTACTACTTTCTATCGTTCACTACAAGAAAATCGGTTTTATAGGACGCCAAATATATAGTAAAGTCCTAATAGACTGCTTTGTAGGGATTTATAAGACCAATCAATTGTACGTTCTATGTAAAGGTGTTGCAGTAAGTTGACAACACGTTTTTGGATGTCCATACAAGTTTTTTGGGACAATTTTAAAATAAATCGTTCTATTAGTCTTTTTATATGAGATTATTTGAAAAATTATCTTATAAAAACAAGTATTCTATAAAAAGATGTGTTCATAAGACCTTTTTCATATATTGTAAGTGTCTTGAAAAACTTGTTAGGTTGCCCAAATATGTCTAACATCCGATTGTAACACCTTTATATAGGTCGCACAATTATTTAGTCTTACAAACTTAAATCCTCTAAAGCAGTCTATTAGAACATTTAGACGTATTTGGCTTCTTATAAAGCTGATTTTCTTGTAATGATTCTTTGTGATTGGAATCAGTTATGATCCAAAGTTTGTTTATCAGGATGAACAACTCAGCTAGCGGAGCTCGCCCCAACCCACAGGGTTCTTTCCATTATGGTTCCATCAATGTGACCGACACATATGTGTTAAGAAGTATCCCACCGGTAATGATTGATGGGAAACGACGTGCTTCTTATAATGGGATTTCATTTGCTAATCTTGATACACCAGTGAGGCTTGCAGACAATCATAAAGTGAAGGGTGCTTACAAACTGGATTTCCCAAATATGCCACGCAGCGGAAGTCCACGAGCAGATAGATCCATTATCAATGCTACCTATAAAGGATTTGCAGAAATCATATTGCAGAATAATGATACTGTAGTTCAGAGCTTTCATATGGATGGTTATTCGTTTTTCGTTGTTGGGTATTCTTCCATTACTCAACCCTGTTTCCACATCTTCTTTTCGGAGGATTTGAACATGTGGATGACGATGAAATCTACTAACATTTAGGATGGCATATGGGGAATGGACAGAAAACAACCGGGGTTCTTATAACCGATGGGATGCTATTGCACGCTCTACCATACAGGTTTGTTTATTCCAGAAATACATTGTGTACTTAGGAGAGTACAAGACATGACTGAACAAAAACTTGTTGTTCCATGATTGGTGCGACAATGACTCCACAAGACTGACCGGGACAAAAATGCATTTTTTTCCTTTCAAAACAGGTGGAATAAAAACCAGATAGATATACAAGCTTTATAAATTACTAAACTATCCATGTTAAATTAAAATCCTAAAACCAGTTCTTTCACTTGCCTATTTGTTGTACAGTCCTGTCCAGTCTCGTTTGCATAACAAATGCACCGTATAGGAGAAGGTTTCATAAGAATGTTACAAAACTACTGATTTAATTTGTGTAATAGGTGTTTCCGGGAGGATGGACTGCAATACTGGTTTATCTTGATAATGTTGGAGCTTGGAACCTTAGAACGGTGAATCTTGACCGATGGTATCTAGGCCAAGAAACTTATATGAGAATCATCAATCCTGAAGACCATGCCCAGAAAACTGAATTGCCGGTGCCTGATAATGCTTTGTTCTGCGGGGAACTCGGCCACTTGCAGAAGTACGAATGACTCTGCTTAAATTAACAGTTTATCTTAGAGTCCCATATTAGCTAGACCTAGACCATTCCTAAATTAACCGATGCCATTGTGTTTGCATTTCAGGCCTCAAAGAAGCTTGGCTTCGAGTGGATCAACGATGCGACAACCTCGGAAGGTGAATTGGTGGATGGTGATGGCATTTGGAGGTGTTGTTTATATGATGAATTAAGGATTTGTTGTTGAAAATGAAAAGGGAATATTTTAGAATGTTGAGGGTTACTTTTAAGGTTTGTTATAGGCTCCTTTTGTATCGTGAAAGCAACAAAGGCATGCGCATGATCTTTTGGTTAATTTGAAATCGAGCTTTTTTCAACAATCATCACGTATATATTTTATATGTATATATATATATATATATATGTATTATTACTAACGTCTTAAATAGTTAAATTAGACATATTTAATATGTTAATATTAATTATTTATTACATATGTATATAGACAGAGTATCAAACAATAATATGTTCAAAATACTGAAATCGCATATGGTTATGGAACACAGTTGACGCAAGGGTGTGCAAGTGACTTGGCTCGCGGCCTAGATCACGCGAGCCATATGTGATTTTATACGTGAGTTTAGTGTAAAATCACATTGATTTAACCGTTCTCGTGTTTTCTTATGATGGGTTAGTATTATCGTTTAAACCGATTCTATGTATATACCAATGTATTGGTGATTATCATTGATAATGACAAATTGATATGTAACAGGAATTGCAATGCATAAGGACAATTATGTCAACAAAAAGAACCCACACATAGATCCCAATTCCTTTGAAATCTGTTTGTTAGCAACTTAATGAGCTTAATAAAACTCACAAGTTATTTCATCAGTTATATATGATTGTTTGATGGTGACTTAATGATATAAAAAGTGGCTTATTCAGTAGGCTTATATGAAAGCTTTATGTAAAAAGACGAGTTTTTTCTATACATATACTGATATACCTCTATCTATGAAGAAAAGCATGCTGATTCTATTTATGAAAAAATTGTCCAAATAAAACTTTTATCAATTTATCTATACTATATTATAAAACATTTGACAAAAGCTCTTAAAAACCATTTTTATACATGAATTATTGTTTATTGATGCATATTACTTAAAATTGAAGATTACAATTGTACATAAGTACAACTTATTAAAGCTCTATGTTTGAATTTGTAAAACTAACTGTAAATAAACATAATATGCATTTAATTATTTTTTCAACTCTATATTATATATTCATTATCTATACTATATTATAAAATATTTGACAAAAACTCTTAAAAACTATTTTTTATGCACAAAGTACTGTTTGTTGGTGCATATCACTTAAAATTTAAGATTATAAGTAAATTGTGCATAAGTACAACTTATTAAAGCTACATGTTTGAATTCGTGTAACTAACTACGGATAAATATAATTAAATATTGGATAAACATCTCATTTTAAATATAAACAATCTAAAATATAATTAGGATAATCATTGTGTTATAACATAATATTTAGTTATTATCTTTATAAAAAATATAAACCTAAATTAAATTACTTCGTTATTAAACCTAAATTAAATTGCAATAAAAAAATTTGAATTAAGAAAATTACACCAAAAACAATAATTTTTAAAAAAGTTAATTTAATACTGATATATATATATATATATATATATATTAAATTTTATAATATTTTCAAATTTATATTTTATTCAAAAAATAAAAACATTATCGTGTTCTCAAAATCACATAAAACCGTATTATATCAACATAAAAATAAAATAAAACGAAACACTGAAAACGAGATATGTTTTGATACATTGCACGAATACCCTTCTAATTAATATAATATAATAAAAAAAAGATGTTCCTAATCCTTTTTGAAAAATTCATTAAACTTGGTGAATTATATACTTTATTTCTTATTTAATTAAATTTCACTTTACGTCAATAATAATGATTGGGTTGTCGTCGGTTGGACCCCTCAATTCATCTACTTTGCTTTCATCTCAATATTTGATGATTTTTCTTTTTCCTTTTTTTTTCTGATAGAAATTAATGATCATGACTTAAAGGTCTATGAAACCGACTCATTTTAGCCGACCATGCCAATTGCCAAAAGAAATAAAACAAGCCTCCTGTTTTTATATTATCACAAAACTAGTGTTTGATATCGCACGTTGCGCGATTACGATAATTTTTTTTTAAATTATTGAAGTTAGCTAAATGAGTCGTTGATCACATTTATATATTAAATTAATAAGAATCAATATTACCTTTGATATATGAATTCACCCACATCATTTTGATTATCCATATATTTTATACGAATTTTACAAAACAACATATTAATCCTGATTACGGTGGAAACAGGCCCGGAACACACATTGTTTCGAACCACTTAGAGTCATAACTGGCTTTTCGACCTTTCATGAAAGTTGTAGTATATAGTAAGGGCTTTCTAACTGCGAAATACTAGTTTATTCTGACTTACAGTTTGTGAGTTATACACTGTCAAAATACAGAAGTTGCACTATCGGTAAAATCCAAATTCACAATTTCACAACTAACTTTTATGATCCCAACTTCGCGTGTTCAATCAAACGGGCAATTTTCTCCCCGACTATGGGTCCCATACTACTCCCCATTAACTGAAAATCCATAATCCTAATTGCTACGGTAATACCTTTTAGTTACCTTATGTCTGTTTGAACAACCTCGGTTAATCTTGTCTTTCTTATTATGATGTACTAAAAAATTGATTGAAACTCGTATGTTTGGTCATTTAGTAAATATACTATTTTTTAAATAATATATAAGAGTGTTATGTAAATAATATAATCGACAATGATCATAAGGT